TATTGTAAATAATGTCCCAATCATGGGCAGTATTAAGTGCTGAAGTGCCTTCAACACTTCAGCAAAGGCTAACAAACCTCCTTTACATATACTCCTCCAAGATAAAGAGCTTGGATAGGTTCTTCTTTGGAAAATAAATCTCCATGCCAGTCTGCAGAGTATGGCATGTGCACACCAGAGATATTTTTGTCCTATAGCTCCTGCACACCGGTAGTTTTGCCTCAATAAGACTGGGTTCTGATCACAACAGGGACACAACATGACAATAAATGCTGCATTGCTCATATTATATAGCCATTATATAACCTCTATAGGAGTATTGCACTGCATACTAATATAGCAATTACATCACCTACCAAACATATTAACACAGCAAAGATATTAACACAGAATCTCTTATCCTTATTTGTCGGTTAAAAGTCAACTATCACTCAACAAATGATGCCACAAGGACACTAATAATCAAATAAAACGGGTTAATAGGCATAGAAAAGCCAGACCTTATAACCCTGAGGAAAGGCACTGAATTGTTCAAGGTCATAATTGTCACTTAGCAATTACACTGTCTAAGGGGTCATAGGGCCATGAGGCCTGGCTTTTACAATGCCATGGCAACATGTTAATTCACACAGGTCATTTCAAACTCTCCAGGACTCGTATAGTGTCTGTATTCAAATGACCCAGATGAAATGAAAAAAGGAAAAGACAAGGAATGCTCCTTCGCATTAGTAAAATGTCAGTTCAAAGCTAATTCGCCAGTGCACAGAAGGACATTAGAATGGGTGGTGGTGCACACCAGCACACTAAGCGTTTTGCCTTTGCACACCGGAGATCTCGTCAAAAAGTGCCATACTCTGCAGACCAGTCTCCGTGGATGTCTAAAAGTAACTAGCATTGGGTATCCACATTACTGACAGCGTATTAGAATATCTTAAATGGCCAGCTGGAATGCAACACAGCATATGACTGGATTTTATTTACATATCAAACAACTTAAATTTCAAGCTGCCACAAAAATAAACATGAATGAAAAGTATCTCTAAATGTAATTTGATGTGCCATTAACCTCGTAGTTGTTAAATAAAAGAAAACACCCTTTTCTTTAAACTCCTGAGTACACTTATCTTAGCAACCCTACACTAAGCCGATGTTTAAACCCTGGCTGATGTTCAATTGGTCCTGGGTGTCCAGGGTAACCTTCTACCTTAAACCAGGGTACTGGCTTTGAAGGCAGCTGGTCCAGGGAGACTTCTTTAAATTTTCTGTCTCCTATCTTAGGAATACTGGGCCATGAATTCACATCCTTGTATTGGGGTACTCATAGTACAAAGGTTCATGCTGTATCTGATACTAAAAGATGGGATATGGTATCCTTTACAATTTTCCCGACAAACTGAAATCAGTTGGATGTGTGGGGGCCATACTTTACTGGAATAGTATATAAAAATTGTAAATTTAGATGAATTCTTTGTTTAAGAGCAACTTTCAGAATTACTACAAAACCTATAGGATACTGCTGTATGCTCCTGCCTGTTGCTTTGTTGAAAATGAGCTTTGCAACTTACTTAACCCATTGCCACGTACATACATGCCATGCCCACTGTGAGTCGACTTGTTCAATTGTTTTTACACATAGATGGCTACACTTGTACTAAGTCCCCAATGAGCCAATTACAGTACTCCCTGTCTTGCCCGTTCACCCTTTTCATCGATTTACGAAAATATTTAACGATATCCTAATTTGCTGTTAAAAATAACACCATCTATATTTATAGCACTAGTAAGAATACGTTTTTTTTCCCGCCAATTCAAGGAAAGGTGAAATCAGGACTAGCAGAGCCATCTATGGACAGAGATATTTCACAAAAATATAAAAAATGAGTACTACATTTCCCCCATTTTTTGTTCATTTTCCCCAGCGGCAATGGGTTAAGGCAGGCTCTTGTCTTAAATATTTAATATGTTACCAAAATTCTTTGGAGTGGGTAAAGTGTTTATCTACTTGTATGGGTATTATATGTATTCCTTATAACTATTCCACCTTCTTCAATGTAACCAAATCAATCTCATCTCAAATTGATATTAAAGCATGTTTTCACTCTGAGAAAATGACAATAAAATCACTATGGAATAAACAAACAATCCACACTGATGTAAATAGTCCAGAAGCACTACTTATGAAACTAATTTCAATTTACTCACACTTTTTACCCAAGCAACCCTAAATGACAACCTCAAAGAGCAAAACACTCAACCCTAAACCCAGAAAATCGGTCCCAAGACCTCAATCCCAACCGTGACCTTTTATTGGGTCCTGCCAAGTCCACCGCCATCACCCTCTCCTTGTATCTACACCTCTTCTAATATTCCTCAAAAGATTTCACTAAGAGGCACTTCCTGAACTCACCAGCATTGTGCGAAGATTAAAATGACGATAAAGGCCAGTGTTTCAAGGCCTGCAAATCTGCAACACCTGCGAGGTCCATTTCCCATTTTAAAT